CAATTTGGACTTCCATAGATAAAAAACAAATTGATTTTTCAGTCTTGATCTTCCAACAGGTGTTTACGCCTCAGCCGGGTTTTGGATTTTACCACTCGTCACCCGAGATTCAATTCGTACAAAGATATTCTCAAGTGGAAAAACAGGATGATATCAAGATCTCCGCTTGCATTATCAGTTCTTTCATGACTATTCCTTTTCTTTTGACTAGTTTCTTTTTGATACGTTTTGTACGTTGTTGGTTTTAGCTTACCTTTGCTGCTGTTCTGAGATATCTCAAAACGAGTTTTCATCTTCGTGCACTTATTTCAGATTTGATGATGAACGCGCATCAAACATTATATTTTGTTCGATGTCCACATCGGATGGAAAACCGGAAATTAGGTAAAGTTGTGAAAGAATTCTACAGGGGCTGTCAAAAGACAAATTGAATTGTAATGTAGATTAATCTGCTATCGTGGGACATGAATTGACAGGAAATTGATCTGGATTTTTTCATGAAGAGCTCTAAAGACGATCACACCTCATAATTTTATTATAACATAATAAAAAAATAATCTTAACACAAACAGATTGGAAGCGTTGTAGGTGCTATTATTTATGTAAAAAATATACGAAGAAGCAGGGCACCAATTACGGATTTTGAATGGAATATAAAGAATATCACGGAGCAGGTGATTACACTGAAACAAACAGCGACGAACTTCTTTAATTCCCCATTATCTTAGAGTTAAATTGTGAATAACATATGATGAAGGAAGCGCAACATTAAAAAGCCTTGTAGTTGGTCGTTGGATCCCTCTTCATACTTTTCCTCATCAATATTACTCCTGTAATGAGTCCATTCATATTGGCAAAACAGAGTTGTACTCAAGTTGCTGGATATCTCGCAATTCCAACTATATATCTTGTTGAAAAGAGTTGTTTTGACGCTATGCTTATCATTCGTTTATTCTTTCAGCTTTTCCCCTAAGAGATTAGAAAGGATTAAATTGGGAAAATTACCTTTCAAATTAGTTTAGGTGCTTTATGAAAATACCTCCCTTCAAGTTCCATGAACCGTTCGACATTTTTTATACTACGTATTTATATGCTTTTTGTCTTAACTATATGCTTTTCGCATCTCCTAACGCTTATCTAGAAAAACACAAATATAGTTGACTCCTGATAGCTCAATAACTCGAAACTCCTAACGACTCGAAGCAATTTTCGTTTCCCTTCAGGTAACTCTCTATATATTTGACCCTCGATAATTCGATTCACGTCAAACCATGTCTCTCAGTACTCATGAAATCAAAAGAAACAGTGTACTGCAGTCCAAACATTTCATTTATCAGTGAAGCAGCCATGTCATATTTTGCCTTTTTTGTCTTACAAATAAAAATATACCGTATAAGTCCAGTTTAGGTTTCGTTGGTTTTGGGTATATTAACTACAAAGCCTCTCCCAAGGCTTTGCTTCGTTTTGTTTCACCTTACGTTGTGAATTTTACAGTAACTTAGTTTTTCATTTTCATTCGCCGTCTCTTTAATCAAATGTTATCAAAATGTATGCTGCATGAATAGAAAAACAGTAAACACCACATTTTCTTTGTCCTCCGATTTTTTGTTTTCAACCACCGATAACTCGATCTCCCGAACTCAAACTCAAACTTTTTTCAATTTCCTTCGCTTGAAAGTTCGAGTTAAGGCGTTTTTGTTATGAGTAAGAGTGTCATTTCACAAAGAGCTAAATGAAGAAACGGGCTAATGTAGCAGAAGGTCTAGCGTCTTTGTGAAGAAGAAATTTTAAAAGACTGAAAAACAAAATCGTCATCCTTACAATAGGCTGATAACAAACACGTGCAGACAGCATCCTTCATGCCGAGAAGCGCCGTATGCAATATGACAACCATTTTGACTGAAACATCTTACTCTTTAGCCTACAAGGCATTGTCCGAAACATTTAAGATATCTTGGATTTCTAAGTCACAGTAGAATTCTATCATATTTCAAAGAATTTATGTTGAACTTTTTGTTTCATAAGAAAGCTTAAAAAATGCGATTTTTCCAGGTTTTCTCGTCGCTCATGGCATCCTCTGAAGCCATGCATTGAATGAGGAAGTTTCGTGGTGATATGTTGGGTAGTTAAGCTACAAGGGTAGTTTCTTTTTATTTATTCTTTGAAGCTCTTGTTTCAAGAGATAGCTTTTAAAATATATTTTTACCGGCTTTCCGAGGACAACCGGTTTTTAACAGGTTGTCCGAGGCCTTGCATTGAAGATTGCGTGATAGTCAAGCTCAAGGGCAATTATTTATTCATAATTTTAAGGCCCTTGTTATACGTGATATCTTTAGAAACCCGGTTTCCTCGGCCCACAAGACATTGTCCGTAGCCTTGCATTGAAGCATGATTATTAGGGTGGTGAAGAAACAATGGTGTCTTTATTTATTCGCTCATGTATTTTTGAAGTTCTCATGAGAAGAGAAGAATGACAGAATATATTTTGTCCTGAATTAGGTTTTACTTCCAGCCGAAACGCGTAGAGAGCAATTATTATGTTTATAATGTTTCGCCAACCAGTTTCATTTGCTATACTCACGTATGGCTACTTCCCATGCTGTTAGGCGAGCAGTAAGTCTCCAAAGATCAGCATGAAAAATTTTATAATAGAAGAACAGATAGAATAATCATAGTGAACAGGAGAAATAATAATTAGAGCTCAAAAGCTGGCTAGTATTTGGTTTGTTAAATTTGTAAAATCTATTTGCCAACTGTGATCGAAGAAACGGCGACTGAGCACCACCTGGGATAATTAAATGTTTATACATGGGGTTAGGTAGTTTCTTTTTTTGGTGATAAGCAAGCAGGGCATCAAAAAATCATGCATAATAAAATTTAACAATTTTTTTACTTTTTTTTTACGCTTGGCGGGACGGAAAATTGTCAACAGTTACAAGTTCATTTTATATTATTGTGATGGGAAATATAACGTCCACTCTGTACATATTGCTTTGTATATCCCGAAATATGCAGTTTTACTCTAAAAATTGTTTAAATCGTACTGTTTTGAAATGCAATAATGAATTGAATTCTTTATGTAACACTTATTAATATTGCAAAAGTGATTTACATAACACTTTGGGGTGTGAACTGAGAGAAAAATATTCTGCTCGCCACTTAAAGTTCATCCTTTCCTTTTAAATGGGTTATATGGAAAACAGTTCAAGGCTCTTCGAGTGGACGAACGAATCTCTGTTTCTTGTGGCGTACAGCAAGACCGAAGGAGTTGCTTGGTGCAGTGCGTTTATTATTGTAGCATTCCTCGTAATAGTAGGCAACGCGCTTACCATTACGGTTTTTGCCTCGAACAAAACTCTTCGCAAGAAGAGTTTCCTGTTGGTTATAAATATGGCCTGTGCAGATTTTGTGTTGGGTGTTTTAGCTATGCCTCTTTTCATTTATCGTCTTGGTGGCGACTCTAAACTATGGTCCATCGAATGGGGTTACTCCTTAAATTTATTCTATCTGACTGTAGACACCGTCTGTGCCCAGACTTCAATAATTACAGCTGCGTTTATCGCTGGAGAGAGGTTCTTTGCAATTGGGTGGCCTCTAAAGCACCGATCCATAGCGCACCGCAGAGCGTACTACATAACTGTTTCACTGACTTGGATTTCATCGATTATCATTTCATCTGTGATAATAGGTTCTCTTCACAAGTCGGTTCACATTTCGATTTATATTTGGATGACTTACGCTTTCACACTGACTATTATCATATGCGTATGTTACATTGGTATTTTCAAGAGCTTTACGCAAGGGAGGAAGTTCATGCGAAGCCAGAACGATGCCAAAGGTCCGGAAAGCAAGCGGTCAACTAAGACGTTGTTATTGATAACTTTTGTCGCCTTAGCTTGCTGGTTACCACTTATAGTGACAAACACGTTTACAGTTTATATTCCGGTGGATAAAAATCTTTTGTTACTCGTAAATCTTATAAATTTTGGCAATTCGTTTGCCAATCCTGTACTTTATTGCCTAAGGATCCCGGATTTTAGGAAAGCCCTGTGGTCCCGACGGGGATACAAAGGCAAGAGGGCTGTTGGACGACTTGCGGCTACCACCACTGCCTTCCACCTGCAAGTCGCCCTCAAACATGCGGTAGATGTCAGCGGGCTTCTAGATCATAAGGAGAGTAAGGATATGGAAGATATCGATGAAACCGTCACTGAATTGAGAACTTGGATAAGTTAAGGTTTCTGAAACTTAGGACAGAAAAGGGTGTTGAAAGAAAAAAATGAAATCACAGGCTCTTCATGGTATTTACACTTTTAATTAAAAAACTTCATTTTTTAGCTGTTTATTTTATTAAGTTCTTCTGCTTTAAGCTAAAATTATTTCTGCCTACACTTTTTGATTAATATAGTTTTTCTTTACTATTTAATTATCCCAGTAACTGATTATATCTTCAAGGTTTGTTATTTTCATTTCAGCTCCTGAATATAAACTAGCAAGAAAATATCAGCTTTTGGTATATGGAAAGATTTTAAAATCCGAAATTTCAGTCGCTATATTCTGGCAAAAAAGATCCTCAGTAAAACAAAGGCTGTAAACATACTTGTAAATGACAAAAGCTATATTTAATATATTTTGTTCATTATGTGGAAGATGATTTTTAAGATTTTCTAGACAAGGCTTCGATAGACTGTTCGATATTACGAGCCTTTCACAGTCGTTAGTGAATGAAAACCCTAAAAACACTGTTGATAAGGATAAGGATTCCCCTAGAGATACATTTAATGTGCTGCAACATAACCATGATTTTTTTCCCTTGTTGCACTGGCTATGAGCGATTTTCGGGACATCGTGTCGTTACTTCGCTAGTTTCCATTAAAAATTGTTACTCGTCTAGAATTTCATCCTTCTTCATGTCATGTTTTGTTTTCCTTTTCTCTCTTCTTTCCCTATATCTCTTCTTTTTTTTTTTTGGTATGTATTTGTTATCGTTGTGGTTGATTTGCTCATATTCACGGGACTCTCTCGTGCATGTGAGTTTTAATCCAACGGCTAGTCAGTCACCCAAGTGCTACTGTAAATTTTGTAAAGTGATATTTCTTTTATCCTATTTGTTTTAGCTCAAATATATCGCGAATTTTAACACACTGTTATTGTTCCATGTTTTGAACGTTCCACAATAGGCAGAGGCTAATTTGTTTATTATTCAGCATTCTGCGAGTGGGATAAGAATGATTACAAAGGAAATTGCAGCTCTATCTCGCGAGAGACGATGGCTTAATCTGACTCTGTTGGGTGAATTTGCCCGAAAACAAATACAGATATCTTAGTTTTCACTTGTTTTTGTATCTGTCATTCTGGTCAAGTGTCTTTATTTGAAATGCCACAAGATCACAGTCGCTCGTAACGCGTTACATTTCATGCAATCGTTCCTAAGCATCGGTTTTGTCACGCAACGTGTTCTCTCTCTCCCACGCTTTCTCCCACGTTTTCTGTTTTAAAGAAAAACCATCCTATGGCAGCCAATGATAACCAACCTTCAGGATGTCACGCAGTAAGCCGATTTGCAAGCTAAACGATCGTGAACTTTGTGAAGAGCACTACAGGTAAGCGAAGCCACTTTCTGTAATACACAAATAATCGAAGAATATACGTTAATCTTGATAGTTCAAGGCTAAATTTGTAACACTGTCGTCCTTTTCAGAACTATCTCGCGGCAATCGGGTTTAGTCGGTTGCCATTTATGGTCAGTCAGGTATCCACAGAAGCGAACCAATTTCTTTGACATTTCTATTGATCGCAATAACTTATCACTAAATGCTGTGGTGTATCGGATGCGGTGATTTGAAATGAACGATGACAACCTTCGACGAAGATCGCGTCGAATCGAAATCGTAGGTTAAGAAGACGACATGCTTCTGTTGCTTGACACAACAAGTCACGTTGTTATTAAACGTAATATCTACATATCGATATTTTTTTCAGCTCTTTAAAGAAGGTTATGTCCAAAAGAAAGGTATTAAGGCATCGCTGTGTTTGTCTCATTCCTAAATTGAAAAATTTATCACCAAAGCATGGAAGTTATGAATATTTAACATGCTCCCGAGTGAATAATATTTAGTTTATTTTTTTCGCATGGCTTATGTCACGAAACCTGCTCCTTCTCAGTAGTTGCTCAATTTTCCTGCTAATAGGAAAGTTGTTTAATCGCCCAGAACGAACCAGATGATGTGGATAATTTCTTCTTCATAATTTTGGGCACCGATCGGTGAAATTGAGTGAGACTGAGACCGTAAGAGGAATATTTTAACACCTTCTTGTTTCTAGATCTGAATGGCCCCGTTACGAAGTAAGATCGAAGATCGAGAAGGCGCAATCATTTTACAAATAGGGTCGATGGTGATCTGTTCGATAGAGTTTGAAAACAAAATTTGATGGAGATGAAGTCAGCCTGAGCTTTTATACAATCAGCACATAAAATATAACGAGCCGTACAATATTCGAACGAGATTGGAAATAACAATAACAATTGCGAACTCCAAAAACTGAGATTAAACTACAAAAATTTACATATTTAATGTTGATCAGTTGTATCTATAAATGAAGTTCGCCAAATAATAAGGATAACAATTGGTTAAGTAAGATAAAACTGAAGAGTGATTCAAGTACTGCCTATATTAGTCTTATAAATTTTGTTACATAAATAAATAGGTTTGCTTCAAACTTAGAATGATTAAAGAATCTATGAGAAAATAGTCGGATCGTGTCAGTTAATAATATTCCTAAATTCTTAATCACTAATAGTGGAAGCCGTACGATTAGGCGGCGCGTTCGAATGGAAGCTTGTTTGGAGTTCGAGAAGCTTGTTGTCCAATATTTGTCACGAGGATTATTATTGATCACTAAGCATTTTAAGTTTGCGTCATTTAACATCATGTGATGCTATGCTATGACTCTTTTTTGTGTGTCGTTGACTAATATCGACAGTGGAAGGAAACCTCTTATTAATTAAAGAGTTCTATAAAAACTATCTGCTCATTTCCAGCGTAGAACAAAGAAATTAATTTGACGATCGAAAGGTTCGAAATTCGATACCTCGTGGTGGTTCTCTCATATTTGTCATTCTTCCCACGCGCGTGACAAAGATTAATCTCACGACCCCGCTCAAAATTTACCATCTTTCTTGTTTGGGTCACACAAACACTACAGTGGCAAATTAAGACGTGCACAACAATGTCTGGGGTGAAGAATATCAACAATGTTTCCAAAATGATCTTGAAAAGAATATTTTCTATATGCACAAACTGTGTTCGTGTCCTTTGAATTAAATTATCTCGTAGAAATGTCAAAAAGGCGCCTCTATAGAAATCATATGATTCGTCGATTGCAAATTAGAGATGGCTAGTTTATTTTTTGGTTTTAAAATCTATCTAGAGGAGGCTTTCCTTCTCTGGCGTGACATTTACCTAAGTTGACGTTACACATTTCATTCGTAGAATATGGCTCTCTCTGCTGACGATGTGTTGGAGGAGGTTGGCAGTTTTGGATGGTTCCAAATACGACTCCTAATTCTATTTAATTTGCTATCCGCCCTTTTGTTTGGCTGGGCTGTGATGGTGACGGGCATCATAACAGCAGAACCTCCTTGGAAATGTGTCCAGAATAGTTCAGTTTGCACCTTTGGAGGTAGCTTTTACTCTGGAGATGAGCACTACGACCATAGATGTAACATCTCGCGGAGTGAATGGGAATTCGAGGATGAGATGACCACTGTGGTTACCGAGGTAAAAAAAAAAATTAATTAATGATATCTTAAATATTGAACTTTATTTACACAGGGTAGCCCATTCAGCTCCAAGGCTGGTCTCCATAGGGGCCCTGTATCTTAACTATTAATTTACATTAAGAATTTTCATAAACTATCACATTCAAAGAGCCTAATAAAAATACAACAATAAAATTCAAGAACTACATTAAGAACCTTTAAAATACGATACAAAATCACTTTTAGAGCCTAAAATATAATAAAACATCAAAGTCATGATAAAAAGAAATGCGTTGCTTGGCGGCAGAACATCTGAATCTTTTCACTCTTAACAATGTTTACAAAGAGTTTGTTAAAAAATTTTGCGCCACTAAAAAGGAAGGTCCTTTTCCCAAAATTCTGTGTAACGTTTGGTAGGGATAGCCTCATACTTTGCCATGTGGAATAATTATGAATGTTTAGCAAAACTGTAATGAAAAATTAACCAGGGACTAATGAGTGAAGACAGAGAAAAGCAAAACGAGTTTAGCCTCGTGGTAAGAGCTTCTTCTGGAAAGAGTCGGCCACTGAGAGCAACTTGTGATGATCCGTGCAGATCTAATCTGTAGATCCACATTACTCTGAATTTTCCTCAAAAAAAGATAGATGCACACTGGTTTAGCATTAGTCAGTGGGTAAGACATCATGATAACTCTGACTATCGGCTTCAACTTTCAGGATACCTCAAAAAGTTCATTCAGTAAGATCACAAAGTACAACTGAACTAAAATATAGTGCGTCAAATTTGGCCTACGAGCAGGTTTTTTTTTAGTAAACTAATAACCGAGAAAGCATCATTAACTTACAATTTACCAGAAAATAAAACAAATGAACAACTAATGATATAAGACAAGCCAATTATTTCAAACAAAAATTTTATCGTGTACTATATGAGTCAAATGAGGGAGAATCGACGGCAAAGGTGTTTTTGATGTATTAGTTCAAGTTATAAATACCTTGAATGAAAGAATTTTTCGGCTGAGTCTCATTTACACCTTCCGCCATGTTGGGACAAAATCTTAAGTATTAGAAATTCCCGCGATACCACGTTTGTCTGAGTGCCTCAACTACACAATGAGTCTCCTTCGTTTTATACAAAAGTTTCTCCTTATTTATCCTTCTTCAATTCTTCCTTTAGGAAAGAAACCACTGACTAAATATTTCTTCTTTGTCTTCTTCGTGACTTTGTATGAAGCATTTTTGATACCAAGCAATCGTTATGTTCATTAATTTGTTTGTCTTGCAGTTTGATCTTGTGTGCGGCAAGTCGATCTATGGGACCCTGGCGTTAGCTGCTGTTTTCCTTGGTTTCTTTGTTGGTGCCATAATCATTGGTCCTTTCACTGACAAGTTTGGACGAAAGCCAACCATTTTCATTTCAGGATTCGTCATCGCTGTCTTCAGCCTTGTGTCGGCCTTCCCCAAAATATTCTCGCTGTTTGTTGTCTTCAAGATCATTGTCGGTTTAGGAGTTGGTGAGAGTTGAAATGTT